TAAAATGGTACACAGCTGCTGTGAAAATGGTATGACAATTCCTCAAAAAATGATATAGAAAAATTAGCATATGATCTAGCACTTTCACTTCTGGGAATATACCCAAAGAAGTAAAAGCAGGAACTGAAACAGATATTTGTATATCCATGTTCATAATAGCACTATTTGCAATAGTCAAAAGGTAGAAGGAACCAAGTATTCATTAACAGATGAATGGACAAAATGTGGTATATCCATACAATGGACTATTATTCAACCTTAAAAAGGAAAGAAAGAAGGAAATTCTGACACAAGCTACAACACAGATGAATCTTGAGAACATTATGCTGAGTGAAATAAGCCAGTCAGTCAAATAATGTATGACTGCACTTATATGAGGTACCTAGAGTAGTTAAACTCATAATAGAGACAGAAAGTAGAATGGTGGCTGCCAGGGGCTGAGTAGAGGAGATCATGATGAGATACTATTTAATGGATACAGTTTAGGTTTGTAAGATGAAAAGAGTTCTGTGGATGAGCATGGTGACAGCAGCAAAACAATGTGAATGTACTCAATGCAACAGAACTGTACATGTAAAAATTGTTAAAAAGGTAACTTTTATATGTATTTTACCATAATTTTTTAAAATTATTTTTTATGTACAAGGTAGCTTTTTACAATTTCTATATTCCCAAAGAAATGCAAAAATGACTACCAATGCCCAAGACAGCTCAGAAAACCATAACCATGTCCAGTTCCACTGCTCAAATGTCCAGTTTCTCAGCTGTAACCACCCAACAATAGTGTTTTAGTTTCTTCCTCCTTCCCAAATCCATCATTGGTTCTCCATCACTGAAAAAGGGAAAAATTGGCTGACAGGACAGAAAGAAGAAAAATAAGGCAAGATTAACAAGAATGTTTCAGGAATACTACTTCTCTGTGGTTCAATTTTCTTATTGGGAAAATAGGTAGACACCTCCTTTTTCAGCCTCTACCCATCTGCACCCAGATGCTCAAAATAAACAGCATTTTGCTACAAAGAAAAAATAAATACAATAAAATAGGGAAAATAATATGCCCTTCTTTCTAAAGGGCTGCTGTAAATATTAGGTAAATTCGCATACATATAAAGTATTTAAAAGTGCTTATCACATAGTAAGTGCCCTATAAATGTTAGCTATCACTATCATTGCCTAGGAAATCTCAGTAACACCTAGCTTCCACTACAACTTATATCTCAGCTATCTCACTCGCACATGCTCTCTCTCTCTGCAGAGTTGAGCACCAACTCTCCAAATGCTAAAAACATCTGGATATTCTCAGTGAAGGACAATGCTAGCAACTCAGTCATCCAAGCCAGACCTGGAACTTATTGTTAAATTCCTTCCTCTCCCTCACTTTCCACATATAACATCTCACAAAGCCCTGTTGACTCTATTTCAGGCATCCTCAAACTATGGTCCATGGGCCACATGCGAGTGTTTTTGCCTGTTTGTTTTTTTTTACTTCAAAATAAGATTATGTGCAGTGTGCACAAGAATTTGTTCATAGTGTTTTTTTTAACTATAGTCCGGCCCTCCAACAGTCTGAGGGACAGTGAACTGGCCCCCTGTTTAAAAAGTGTGAGGACCCCTGCTCTATTTCCTCCATAACCCATTAAACCATCCCTTCTTCTTTAACCACCCTTCCCTTAGTACAGGCCTCCTTCTTCTAGGATTACTTAAGTAGCTTCTGACTGGCCTTGGGGACGCTAATCTCAGCCCCTTCTGACTGATCCATCCACAACTGCTACAGGAAGCTATTAAAACAAAAATCTAGTAGTGGATATACATTACTTATTATAACTTTTTATACTTCAAAATTAAATTTTTAAAATTTCAATTCAAAAATGAAAGAAGCCAGGTGTGGTGGCTCACGCCTATAACCCTAGCACTCTGGGAGGCCGAGGCAGGAGGATTGCTTGAGCTCAGGAGTTCGAGACCAGCCTAAGAGCAAGACCCTGTCTCTACTACAAATAGAAAGAAATTAGCCAAAACAACTATAAAAAAAAAAAATAGAAAAAATTAGCCAGGCATGGTGGCATGTACCTGCAGTCCCAGCTACTAGGAAGGCTGAGGCAGGACAATCACATGAGCCCAGGAATTTGAAGTTGCTGTGAGCTGACACACGGGCACTCTAGCCTAGGCAAGAGAGTGATACTCTGTCTAAAAAAAAAAAACAATAAAAAGCACAGTGGCTCACACCTATAATCCCAGCACTTTGGGAGACCAAGGTGAGAGGACCACTTGAGGTCAGAAGTTCAAGATTACCTGGACAACAAAGCAAGACCCCATAGCTACCAAAAAATTTAAAAAATTAGCCAGGCACATTGGCACATGCCTACAGTCCCAGCTATTCAGGAGGCTGAGGCAGGAGAATTGCTTGAGCCCAGGAGCTCAAAGTTACAATGAGCTATGATCACGCCATTGCAATCCAGCCTAGGCAACAAAGCGAGACCCTGTCTCTAAAAAAAAAGAAAGAAAGAAGAAACAACAAAAGCTTTCCCCTGATCAGTGGTGAGAGGGAGGAAGGGAAGGCAACAGGAGAAAATAATTGCAAAAGGGCACAGAGAAACTTTTGGGAGTGATGAATATGTTCATTATTTTTATTGTAATGATGGTTTTTTAGGTTTTATTTTCTATCTCTCCTATTAGATTATAAACTTGAGAGTAAGATTTATTTTTTTCATGCTCAGTGCGTTGCATAATTCCTAGAATGCAGTTAAGTACTGGCACTCAAAATAATTGCTGAATTAAAAAGAAGGGGATGGCTGGGTGCGGTGGCTCACACCTATAATCCTAGCACTCTGGGAGGCCCAGGCGGGTGGACTGCTCAAGGTCAGGAGTTCAAGACCAGCCTGAGCAAGAGCGAGACACCGTCTCTACTATAAATAGAAAGAAATTAATAGGCCAGCTAAAATATATATATATATATAAAAATTAGCTGGGCATGTTGGCACATGCCTGTAGTCTCAGCTACTGAGGAGGCTGAGGCAGGAGGATCGCTTGAGCCCAGGAGTTTGAGATTGCTGTGAGCTAGGCTGAAGCCACGGCACTCTAGCCTGGGCAACAAAAGTGAGACTCCATCTCAAAAAAAAAAAAAAAAACAAAACTGAGACAATCACTAACTTCCAAGACAAATCAAGGTGTTCATTTCAGGTCCCTAGCCCAATAAATTTTTCATCTTGTTCCCCAAATATCCATCTTAAAAACTATATAATTTAGAACATCCTATCTGCCATTTCTCCAGTCCTCAGATCTGAATCAATTTCTATCCTGAAATCAACAAATACTTCACCAAGTGAAACTTTCTGTAGGTTTTAGGAACCATTCTTTAAACAAATATTTATTTATTTAATTTTTTTTTTTGAGACAGAGTCTCACTTTGTTGCCCAGGCTAGAGTGAGTGCCATGGCGTCAGCCTGACTCACAGCAACCTCAATCTCCGGGGCTCAGCGATCCTACTGCCTCAGCCTCCCGAGAACCTGGGACTACAGGCACGTGCCACCATGCCCAGCTAATTTTTTGTATATATATTTTTAGTTGGTCAATTAATTTATTTCTATTTTTGGTAGAGACGAGGTCTCGCTCAGGCTGGTTTCGAACTCCTGACCTTGAGCAATCCGCCCGCCTCGGCCTCCCAAAGTGCTAGAATTACAGGCGTGAGCCACCACGCCCGGCCTAAACAAATATTTATTGAACAGCAATGGAGAGTACTGCACTTTGCTAGGCTGGCAAGGAATACAAGAAGTAAAATCACGGTCTCTGTAAGCCATATATAAAAAGATTAAAAAGCAACCCGAAAGATACCCAAAGGCAGGAATCGTCCACATCTGCTATGAAAAACAATGCCCTTAGCCCAGTTTTTGAAAAAAAAATTTGAGACAGGGTCTTGCTCTGTGGCCCAGGCTGGAGTGTTGTCATCATAGCTCACTACAGCCTTGAACTCCTGGGCTCAAGTGATCCTCCTGCCTCAGCCTTTCGAGTAGCTGGTACTAGAGGCACAGGCCAGCGCATCTAGTTAATGCTTTTACTTTTTGTAGAGATAGGGTCTTACTATGACCTGGTAAAATTATAAACTCTCCCACCCCTCCATGATTAAAAACTAAGCTCTGTATTCTCATAAATTTTTTTTCTGATACCACTTTCTTCATCTTTTAATTTCTAGAGGAAAGGGTATGCTAGAAGGATTGGGACTTAATCTCAAGAGGTGCAGTAGTTTCACATATGGGTGCTAAAGAATGTAGTAGTCCTTCCTTACTTCATTCATTCAACACACATTTATTGGACACCTATACTATGCCAAACACTACGCACTGTGCATCAATGACAGTCATAAACTAGAACTCAGGGCTCCCGAAACTCCAATCAGTACCCCATGTGCTCTTCTCCCTGAGGGGAAACAGTTGTAGGCAGTGACTGAGGAAAAGCAAACCAAATCAAATAAAGGTCTGGTGTCATTCTGCCCCTCGTCGAAAAAGGGGGAAGCCAAGTCCAAAACGGGGGTAGGAAGAGTTGAAAAGCTGCCTCAGTTTCCCCGTGGAAAGGCGACCGCACAGCCTAGCTATCGTACAGGCTCCCCTCAAACGCTTCCTTCCAGTTCCTCCTCCCACCCCCAGCCCCACCCCCACCCTCTTGGACTCCAAACAGGGACCCAGCGGGCGACCACAGAAGATGACTCCTTCACTCACAAGGACTCGCACCAGCAGCGCCATATTCCTTAACAACCATTTCCGGGTGAAGGGCGAGCTTCCGGAGTCCCCGCTGCCACGACCCCTTCACTACGTCTTCCTCTGCGGGCGGGAGCGGCGCAGGCGCACAGAGGCTGCTGCGCGCACGCGCGCGCTTCCCCTGCAGTGCGCGAGGCTGCCGTGCCCGGGCGCGCGCCTCCCTGCTGTCTCATTTCTCCTCGCCTTCGCGTCACAGTGGCTGGAGTCCTCCACGCCCACCTCGGGGCTTTTCATATCCCTTGCTCTCCTCATCCCTACCTCACCCAGGCTCCCTTCTCAGCTCCTCCTTCCCAGACTCCAACTCAATGAATATCCCCCATTTTCAATGGAGGTGCAAAAGAACAGGACCTTGGGAAACCCCGATGTTTAAAAAGAGCCTGAGAAGGAATCTTGAGATAAGAGGAACCCAAGAGATGGCAGAGTTCTGGAAATCAAGGGAAGAAGCCGCTCACATACCGACCCGAAGGCTGGTAGAGGAAAGAACTTTGGGGGTTTGTGGCTGGTTGTTTATTTAATGAGAACATCTTTGAATATTGATAGGAAAGGATAGTAAAGATAAGAACACAGGAGAAACAATCAAGGTAGCAAGGAGTTTACCGGGAAAGTGGGAGAAAATGGCCTTGGTAGGGGATTCCTCTTCCATTGTATCCCAAGAGAAGTATAGAACGTGCAGATGCTCCGGGGGTTGACTGGGAGCAGAGGGGCAGGACGGTGAAGGATATCTTCCTTTTCATTCACTCAACAAAGACCCACTGAGTATTAGCTATGTACTGGACACGAGACGGGTGGATCCTGGCTTCCTGGAGCTCTCAAACTGGTAGGGCAAACATAGCACAGTCCAATAAACCAGTGGAAAAATAAAAACTGAGGTAAGTGCTGTGAAGGAAACAACCAACAGCTAAGCTAGAGAATAACATGAGGAACTACTTTAAACAGTAGCACCAGGTAAGGCCTCTAAGGAAGTGACAGATATGGTGAGGAGGAGCTAGCCATGGGAAGTGACTTCACACTTGCTATTTTTTTGGCCAGAGTTCACTGCAGCCTCAAACTCCTGGGTTCAAGCAATCCTCCCACAGGTGCGCACCACCAGGCCAGGCTAATTTTTTTCATTTTTTGTGGAGACAGGGTCTCTGTATGTTGCCCAGGCTGGTCTCCAACTCCTATCCTCAATCAGTCCTCCCGCCACAGCCTCCCAAGTAGCTGGTATTATAGGCATGAGCCACTGCACCCTTGCTTTTTTAAAATTTTTATTGACAAAAATTGTACATATGTAAAATATGTTTTGAAACATGTATACATTGTGGAATGTATACATTGTGTGTTGTGAAACATATATACATGGCTAAATAAAGCTAACTAACATATGTATTATCTCACAGATTTATCATTTTTGTTGTGAGAACACTTATAATCTCTCTAAGTGATTTCCAATTATATAATACATTCTTTTTTTTTTTTTTTTGAGACAGAGTCTCGCTTTGTTCCTAGGCTAGAGAGTGCCATGGCGTCAGCCTAGCTCACAGCAACCTCAAACTCCTGGGCTCAAGCAATCCTTCTGCCTCAGCCTCCCAAGTAGCTGGGACTATAGGCATGTGCCACCATGCCTGGCTAATTTTTTCTATATATATTAGTAGGCCAATTAATTTGTTTCTATTTATAGTAGAGACGGGGGTCTCGCTCTTGCTCGGGCTGGTTTCGAACTCCTGACCTCAAGCAATCCGCCCACCTGGGCCTCCCAGAGTGCTAGGATTACAGGCGTGAGCCACCGTGCCCGGCCATATAATACATTCTTCTTAACTATAATCACCATGTTGTACAGTAGATCTCCTGAACTTATTCCTCCTATCTATCTGAAATCTTGTATCCTTTTGACCAACATCTCCCCAGCACTCTTCCCATCCCCTAGTAACCACCATTCTACTATCTACTTCTATGAGTTCAACTCTTTTAGAGTCCACATATAAGTGAAATCATTCAGCATTTGTCTTTCTGTTCCTGGCTTATTTCACTTAACATAATGTCATCTAGATTCATCTATCTTGTCACAGATGTCAGAATTTCCTTCTTTTTAAAGACTGAATAGTATTCCATTATGTATATAAACTATGTTTTCTTTGTTCATTCATCCATTGATGGACACTTAGGTTGATTCCATATCTTGACTATTGTGAATAATGCTGCAATGAATTTGGGAATGCAGATACTTGTTCATTGTACTGATTTCATTTCCTGTGAATAAACACCTAGTAAGTGGGACTTCTGGATCATATTGTAGTTCTTTTTTTTTTTTTTTTTGTGTGACAGAGTCTTACTCTGTCATCCAGGCTGGAGTGCAGTGGCCTGATCATATTTTACTGTAACCTAAAATTCCTGGACTCAATTGATCCTCCTGTCTCTGCTTCCCAAGTAGCCAACAAGTACTTGTACTTGTACTACAACAAGTACAAATACAAGTGAAAAATCCCTGGAATAAAGGCCTTCAAAGACTTGAGAGTCCAGGATTTAGGATGATCATCTGCACAATTTAAGTTACCCAGAGCGATGGCTAGATGTGGAATAAAGAGGTATAGTCTATGTCTGATACCAAAATCTATGATAAACAGAGTGTTCACCAGTTTGGGAGTAGCATGAACATATAGCATGAGCCTTAGAAGAGCAGCAGGTAGAGGAGTAATGACTTCAAAGTGGTATTGGAAAGCAAGGGCAAAAAGACTCCAACTCCCAGTCTTTTTTTTTTTTTTTTTTTTGAGACAAAGTCTCACTTTGTTGCCCAGGCTAGAGTGAGTGCCATGGCGTCAGCCTGGCTCACAGCAACCTCAATCTCCTGGGCTCAGCGATCCTACTGCCTCTTCGAGTAGGGCTGGGACTACAAGCATGTGCCACCATGCCCGCTAATTTTTGTATATATATTTTTAGTTGGTCAATTAATTTCTTTCTACTTTTGTAGAGACCAGGGTCTCGCTCAGGCCTGGTTTCGAACCTCCTGACCTTGAGCAATCGGCCCATCTCGACCTCCCAAAGTGCTAGGATTACAGGCGTGAACCACCACGCCTGGCCCCAACTCCCAGTCTTAACACACACAGGGTATAGAATGGTAACAAGCAACATCCCAGACAGGGTTGCAAGGGAAGTAATATTCAAAAGGTCAGGCCAGGTTTCAGTTAAGACAGAGAGTAGAAGGAACTTTCTGGGAACAGGCTGGCAGTGTAGACAACTTTCTTGCCCATGGATTCCAGGGCATTTCACAGTGCTCCTGCCCATGCTTCTTAACCTTGGCTCCCCAGTGCCATTCAGCTTCTTTCCACTGCCAGGGCTCCTTGTCCCCCAAACACTCAGCCTGAAGCCCCAGCAGTCTCCACCATTCTCCCAAAGCTCCTCTGCCTCTCTAAGTTTCATCTTTCTTTTTATGCTGCGCCCAACTATCATTGCCTCTTCAGCACTATCCACCCACATTTCTTTACATAGGCTTGCTTCCCACCCCACAATGCGCAGAGATCGATATATTCATTCGATATTATGAGACGAAATATATGATACGAGCTGAGACACAGCTCCTCTATACGGATGCAGCAGCCTCGGGATCACAACATCTGTGCAGACGAAGAAAATTAAATACCAACACATGTGTCCTTGTCGCGTATCGTCATGAAAACGGAGAGTAACGCTTTATCTGTTCGCATGTGAAGTAGAATAAACGCAATGGCAACTGGATACCCCCAAGACAAATAAGTACAAACAAACTGACAGGGTAACTGTCCTACTTTTTAATGACAACCAAATGTTAAGCAGGATAGCTACGCAATATCAATAAGATATGGGGGGAACAGGGCGTGCGAGTTCCTACAGATATAGAGAGGTGTAAGGATTTCAGCTGCATACTGTCTCGCTGTAGTTTATGAATCAGAACACGGAGATGAACATTGAATTCAGAAGTAGATGAACGACACATTCAGGTAAGCAAAATATTTGTGGAGCAATGGATAGACATAAATTCAGGTCTACATACAGTGATTGGCCGTTGAGGCGCTCGGCTCCGCTGTAAGGGGTCCTAGGCACGGAGGGCGTGAAAGCGTGCGCCTGAGTGTGGGCGAATCTTGCGACCTCAGGGGCCTGCCAGAATAAAGGCAGTTCCTTTTCCGTGGTCGAGGAGCTTGCGACTTTATCTTTGCACGCGAGTCCACCCATCCAGCCGGAGGCAAGCCTATACCAACACATTCCTACGTTCATATGAATATTAGTAAGAGAAGAAAGATTCAATGGGCGCAACTAATATACTATATGTTATGAGCTGAGTTTGGAATTCCTGCCCGTGCATGAAAACTTAGTCCCCGGCGCATGGGTGGCACATGCCTGTAGTCCCAGCTACTCGGGAGGCTGAGGCAGGAGGATCGCTTGAGCCCAGGAGTTTGAGGTTGCTGTGAGCTAGGCTGACGGCCACGGCACTCACTCTAGCCTGGGCAACAAAGTGAGACTCTGTCTCAAAAAAACAAAAAAAAAAAGCTAGCCAGAGAGAACAGCAAGTACAAAAACTTCAATATGGGAGAATGCTTGGTGTTGTCAAAGAAGAGCAAGGAGGTCCTTATGACTGGAGCCAAATGAACGAGGAAGGATATGGGGGAGACAAGCTTGACAAAGATGGCCAGGAACCAGATCATGGGGGACCTTTTTGGCCATGAACCTTGGATTCTATTTTGTATGTGCTAGTACAGATGTAGAAAATCACTGGAAGGATATACAAGAAACTGGTAATGGTATGGTTGTTGACTCTGAGGAAGAAGACTAAAGAACGAGAAGGTTAGGTATGGAAAGTAGACATATTTTGCACCATATATACCTTTTGCCCTGTTTGAATTTGTACCTTAAAAACCTACATGAGTTCACCTTAAAAACTTAAATAAGAACATCCATCTCACCCTCAAAATCTTCTTCTGCAAAAAAACATACTCATTGGTTCTAGGGAAAATACAAAGAAGTACTAGGATTACAGGCGTGAGGCACCATGCCCAGCCCAAAGAAGTAGTACTTGGTTCTTACTCTCAAAGTCCTTATAGTTGGGGGTGGATTTATAATACATATTCACAAATTTTATTAGAAAGATGATGAGGCCGAGCGGGGTGGCTCACACCTGTAATCCCAACACTTTTGGAGGCTGAGGAGGGAGGATCGCTTGGGGACAGAAATTTAAAACCATAGTTTTAACATAGTGAGACCCCATCTTTACAAAAAATAGAAAAATGGGCAGGGTGTGATGGCACATGTCTGTAGTTCCAACTACAGGGGGTGCTCAGGAAGGATGATGGATTAAGTCCAGGAGTCCGAGGTAGCAGTAAGCTATGATGATACCACTACACTCTAGCCTGAGTGACAGAGTAGGACTCTGTTTCTAAAATAATAAAAATAAAAAAATAAAGGGCTGGGCACAGTGGCTCACACCTGTAATCCTAGCATTCTAGAAGGCCAAGGCGAGAGCATCCCTTGAGCTCAGGAATTCTAGACCAGCCTGAGCATGAGTAAGACTTAGTCTCTACCAAAAAAAAAATAGAAAAAATTAGCCAGGTGTGGTGGCGTGCACTTGTATTCCCAGCTACTGGAGAGGCTGAGTCAGGAGGATCTCTTGAGCCCAGAAGATGGAGATTTCAGTGAGCTATGATGATGTCACTGCACTCTAGCCTGGGCAACAGAGACAGACTCCGTCTCAAAATAAATAAAATTAAATTAAATTAAATTAAATTAAATTAAAAAAAGACAATGAAAAATAATGAAGTTGGACTCCTACCTTACACCATATTGAAAATTAACTAAAAATGGGCCAGGCGCGGTGGCTCATGCCTATAAACCTGGCACTCTGGGAGGCCAAGACAGGAGGATCGCTCAAAGTCAGGAGTTCAAAACCAGCCGGAGCAAGAGCAAGACCCCGTCTCTACTAAAAACAAAAAGAAATTAATTGGCCAACTAATATATGTAGAACAAATTAGTGGGGCATGGTGGCACATGACTGTAGTCCCAGCTACTCAGGAGGCTGAGGCAGTAGGATCTCTTGAGCCCAGGAGTTTCAGGTTGCTGTGAGCTAGGCTGACGCCATGGCACTCACTCTAGCCTGGGCAACAAAGTGAGACTCTGTCTCAAAAAAAAAAGAAAGAAAAGAAAATTAACTAAGAATGGATCATGGACCTAAAAGCAAGAACTAATCTATAAAACTTAGAAGAAAACATAGGAGTAATACTTCATGACCTTGTGTTAGGCAAAGCTTTTTTAGATATGACATCAAAAGCACTAAAAACACACATGACAAAAGAAAAAAAATATATAAATTGGACTACACCAAAATTTTAAACTTTTATGTTGTAAAAGATACTATCAAAAAAGGTGAAATGTTTTCAAGTCATATATCTGATAAGGGACTTGTATCCAGAAAATATGAAAAACTCTTATAACTCAATAATGGGAAAATAAACACCCAATTAAAAATGGGAGGGCCAGGCACTGTGGTTCAGGCCTGTAATCCCAGCACTTTAGGAGGCTGAGGCAGGAGGATTGCTTGAGATCAGGAGTTAGAGACCACCTTGGGCAACATAGTGAGACCCTGTTTCCACACACAAAACATTTTTTTTAATTAACCAGGAGTGGGCCAGGCACAGTGGCTCATGCCAGTAATCCTAGCACTCTGGGAGGCCAAGGCAGGTGGATCGTTTGAGCTCAGGAGTTCAAGACCAGCCTGAGCAAGAGTGAGACCCCGTCTATACTAAAAATAGAAAGAAAATTAACTGGACAGCTAAAAAATATATAGAAAAAATTAGCCAGGCATGGTGGTGCATGCCTGTAGTCCCAGCTACTCAGAAGGCTGAGGCAGAACGATTGTTTGAGCCCAGGAGTTTGAGGTTGCTGTGAGCTAGGCTGATGCCATGGCAGTCTAGCCAGGGCAACAGAGTGAGACTCTGTCTCAAAAAAAAATTTAGAAAAACGGTTGTATAAACTAAAAAAAATAATAATAATAATAATAATAATAAAATTAAATTAACCAGGGGTGGTGGCACACGCCTGTAGTTCCAGCTATGCAGGAGGCTGAGGTAGGAGGATAGCTTGATCCCAGGCATTCCAGGTTGTAGTGAGCTATAATCTGGTCACTGCTCTTCAGCCTGGGCAACAGAGTGAGACTTCATCTCTAAAAATTAAAAAAAAAAAAAAATGCAAAGGATTTGAATAGACATTTCTCCAAAGAAGATATACAAATAGCCACTAAGCAAATGAAAAGATATTCGACATCATTAGTCATTAGGGAGATGCAAAACACATACACAGCACACATTTACATACAATGAGATACCATTTCACATCTACTAAACGACTACATTCAAGCAGACAAAGTGATGGCAAGAGTGTGGAGAAACCGGACACCTCATATTATATATTGTTAGTTGAAGTGTAAAATGGTGCAGCTGCTTTGGAAAACAGTCTGGCTGTTCCTCAGAATGTTAAACATAAAGTTACCATATGATTCAGCAATTCTATTACTAGGTACATATCCAAAAGAAATGAAAATATATGTCCACACAAAAACTTGTATATAAATGTTCATCATAGCATTATTCATAACAGCCAAAAAATGGGAACAAGCTAAATATCAATCAACTAATGAAAAGATAAATAAAATATGGCTTATTCCAGACAATAGATCATTATTCAGCAGTGAAAAGGAATGAAGTCTCCCAATACATGCTCAACATGGACAATCCTCTTCCAGAACATTATTTAAGTGAAAGAAGTCAGTCCCAGGAAGCCACATGCCAGATGAGTCCATGTCTATGAAGTGTCCAGCCACAAATTCCTAGGGCTAATTTTTGGACCTCAGTGCCAGAATTGTTTTAATTCTGAAATTTTTAATGTATGCCATTCTGTGTTCTCACCATCCTATTCTTTCAGTTTTGATTCATTACGTCTAGTACACCTGTCATTTTACACCATTGAGACTTCCATGCTTTTTCTCTCTTCTCTTTATAGACTGTTAACCCTTTCTTTACTTCTCCTAGCTAGCTAAGACCACATGGTCTATTAATTGCTCTCTTGCCAATATTAACTCCCTTGCTCAAATATCTTTTTATCTTGCCCACCTAGAAAGATCTTAACCCTGCAATTGTCCATTTATTCCATGCCTGCATCTCAATTTTGTTTTACATGTAAGATACTGTCCAATAGATTCTTTTTTTTTGAGACAGAGTCTCACTCTGTTGCCCAGGCTAGAGTGCTGTGGCATCATCCTAGCTCACAGCAACCTCAAACTTCTGAGCTCAAGCAATCCTTCTGCCTCAGCCTCCTGAGTAGCTGGGAACTGTCCAATAGATTCTTAACTACTATTAAAGAAAATCATGCAAAGGACATATTGTTACCACTAAATATGGTTTCCAACCTTTATTAAGTTGAACTCTGTTTCCCCCTTCTCCAAAACTACCATTTGTAACTGTGTTAGATTTTTAAGGCTGCCATAACAAAATACTACAAACTAGGTGCCTTAAAATAATGAAAATTTATTGTTATGGAGGCAGTTATGGAGGCCAGAAGTTTGAAATCAAGGTATTAGTAGGTTATGTCCTACCTGTAGGCTATGGGGGAAGATCCTTCCTTGCCGCTTCCTAGCTTCTGGAGATTGTCGGCAATCCCTGGCATTTCTTAGCTTGCAGCTGCATAACTCCAATGTCTGCCTTTGTCATTACATGGCATTCTCCCTGTGTCTTCTCTTCTAATTGCACTCCAGTCATATTGGATAGAATCTACCCTGATGATTATATTATTATCTTAACGTGATTATATTTGCAAAGATCCTATTTTCAAATAAGATCATATTCACAGGTACCAAGGGTTAGGATTTCAACATATCCTTTGGGGGGGGACACAATTCAACCCATAATAGGAGCCTTTTCCACATTCCTCAAACCTTGCCTTTGACCTATTCCTACTGTCTTTCAACAGATGACCTCATATCCTGCTTCACAGAGAAAACAGAAATTAGAAGACATCAAAGGAAACTCAACTTCCCACCACTAAATCAACAAACCTGCTTTTATCATGTGCATTTATCCTCCCTTTCCTCTTCTTGTTTGATGGAAGAATTGCTGCTTTTCCTATTTGAAGCTAATCTCTTAAGAGCTCTTCAAACTTGACATGTCCAAAACCAAATTCAACATCTTCCTCTCAAAATCTGTTCCACTTTCTGTGTTCCTTTTTGTTGTTGTTGTTAAATAGCACACCATTCATCCGATTACCCAAGCAAAAGAACCCATAGGACTCACCCTTAACTTTGTGTCTCCCTTACTCTGTCCATACCAACACTCTCCAAGTCCTGCCAGTCCCATCTCTTAATACATATGAATTCCAGCTGCTCGTCTCCAACCTCCACTGTCTCCTTCCTAGTCCACACTACTATCTTCTCTCACCTGGACTACTACAACTGATTTGACGAGCAAGTTATATCGATTCTACTATGTGGATATCTGGAGTAAAACATTTCAGGCAGAAAGAACAGCACATGAAAGACCTTGAGGTAAGAATTGGCTTCATTATTTTGAAGAAAAAAGGAAAGCCAAGGTCAGTATGGTTGGAATGTAGAGAGTGAGGCATGCAATATAGAAGATAAGGTCTGAGAGGCAGACAGAGTCCAAATTTTGGAGGCCTTGGAGGCCATGATAAGAAGATTGCATTTTATTTTAAACAGAGCAGTGACATGATCTGATTCGCAATTTTTTTTCAGCATATTATGAGGGTACAAATGTTAAGGTTATATATATTGACCTTGCCCTCTCTACCCCCTTGATTTTAAAAGGGCTCTTTACAGATGCTTTATAGACAATAGATTGTGGATCATACCACAGGTTACTTCTAGTGTGTACTCTAGGTTTGGCAAGGTGAGATGTGAATGTGACCCCAATTTTGGGACTTGCTCTAGCTCGCTTTCATTGTGTATACAATGGGAAAACTATTCAAGCTGCTTTAATTTTAGCTTCAAATAAGGAAACCTCTTTAATTCCCTGTTAACTGCCAGGGATCAAGAATCCCTCCCTGGAAGAGGCAAGGTAATACATTCTTTCTCTGCAGGAAAAAACACAACAACAACACCGTTACAGGAAACCAGAAAGAAGGGAAGGCAGGCAGTGTCTCAGTCCCAGTGGATTACATAATCAAGCCTAAGGTACCCATCTCCATTCAAAGTGATTGTTCTTTCCTAAACCAAAAAGCCATTGTCTAACAAGAATTTTTCCTGATTTATAGATTTCTGTATTTTAAAATTTTTACAAAGATTAAATACTTCATATATCACCTTTTGTAAAAAATGAACTTTATACTAAACTGTTCCAGAACATTAAGAATATATATTTTCTATGACTATGACAATATTTGCCAATGAGAACAAAGTTTGTTTTTAGTTTATTTTTATTTTTATGTTAGAAATATTTAGTTAACAAATATTGTATGCATTCAAGATGTGTAACATGATATATGTGTAACGATTATCACAATCAAATTAACACATCGACTCCCAACCATGCTGTACATTAGATGCCCAGAATTTGTTTATCTTATAACTGAAAGTTGGTACCCTTTGATTAATATTCCATATTTCCCCCATCTCCCAGCCCCTGGCAACAACCATTCTACTGTTTCTGAGTTTAACTTTTTTAGATTCCACATATAAGTAAGATACTGTATTTGTCATATCATATTTGTCTTTCTGTGTCTGGCTGAGATCAAGTTTTAAAGTCCGTTCCTCTTTGAAGAACAGTCCATACCCTTGACCTCTGTATCAACTAATCTAGCAAAAAACTGGGTACTGTGTCACATTTGCCTCCACAGAAATTTCTCTGTACCTCGTTGTTGTACTGTGCAATGACAACAATTTTATGATTTTAGAAACCACTCTATAAATCTTATTTTTGCATTTATTGTAATAACATAATCGAGGATACTGTGTTATGTTAGTTTTCAAGAATGGCTGTCCAGTATGTCTGCCTAGCAATTGCTTGATTAACTTATAGATGAAATGACCTGTGTAAATAGCCTTTTTTCCTGCATTGTATTGGACAGCTGAGAGCCCAATGTACAGTCCACCTGGCGCAGAAGTAGAGCATTATGATCTGCATTTTAGCCTTACTCTTGACTTCACTTTGTCCCCTTGTTTCCTTTTTCTCTTGGCTCACATTTGAGTTATCTTGTCTTATATATTACATATCCTCGTAAAACCCTAAATCAATTCTGAAACATGGCAAAATATAAATGAGTGAACAGTATTAAAGATGATGAAACCATTTCCAATCAGGCATTAAATTCCATCTCAAAAAAAAAAAATGCCTCTGACAACCAGCATATCCTCCCACATTATCTTCTTAAAGAACAAATATCTCTGCTTTAAATAAAGGACTATTCCCGATTGCCTAGAGGCTAAAATTCAAACTCTTTCAGCCTTAGTAGGGATTAACAGCCTCTTCCCTTGCTATCCCTCTCCTGCCCCCCCCCCCAAACACAAATGTATCCTACTACATTAAACTTCCAGAAGTATGGCCTTTGTCCATGCTGTTTCCTCTGCCTGCATCATACATCCCATCTTCCTTTCCCAAAGCCTAATGTAAACGGGAACAGCAGAGATCCCCTGTAGTCCCTGCTACTCAAGAGACTAGAGTGGTGGGGGAGGGTCCAGGATCCTCTGGGCCCAGGATTTCAAGACAAGCCTGGGCAATATGGCAGGACCTTGTCTCAATTAGGAAAATTTCAGGCTGGGCGAGGTGGCTCATGCCTGTAATCCTAGCACTCTGGGAGGCTGAGAGGGGCGGATTGCTCGAGGTCAGGAGTTCAAAACCAGACTGAGCAAGACTGAGACCCTGTCTCTACCATAAATAGAAAGAAATTAATTGCCCAACTAATATATAGAGAAAAAATTAGCTGGGCATGGTGGCACATGCCTGTAGTCCCAGCTACTCGGGAGGCTGAGGCAGCCAGGGCGCAGGACGACTCGCTTGAGCCCCTTCTCTCGCTCGTGCACCGCCTCCGATTGCCCCCCCCTCCTACGCTCGCAACAATGACGACTCTGTCTTCAAAAAAAAAAAAAGCAAGAATTAATGCACCTACTCTTTCTCTCCTTTCTACATTTCTTGACAGAATACGCTTCGTCTCTCTCCTCTCTCCTCTCCCTTCCCTCTTCTCCTCTCTCTCCTTCTTCGACGCTCATCACCTCTGTGCCCCTATCGCGTCCGTGCATCACTACCTGTCACAGCAACCTTATCCTGCGCTCAAGCAATTTCTCTGCCTAGCTCCATCCAAGACTGGACTACAGCCATGTGGCCACATGCCTGGCCTAATTTTTTTATATACTTTTAGTTGTCCAGCTAATTTCTATTTCTATTTTTTTAGTAGCACGGGTTCTTGCTCTCACTCAGGCTGTCTGACTCGCTGAGCTGCAAATGTCCAGGCGGCCTCCCAGAGTGCTAGGATTACACGGCGTGAGCCACTGCCACCCAGCCTTTAAAATCTATTTTTAATTTACTATAGCCTACATTATGAGTTGCTATATTTGGGGATAACATATGATGTTTTGATATGGCATATAATGTTATTACATCAAATCATGTAATCTTGCGGGCTTCCATCCCAAATTCTTATTATCTTGTCTTTAGGAATATTCCAATTCCACTTTTATTATATTTTAAAGTATATCATTCTACATTATTTTTGGCCTGCAGTTCCACTTTGTTGTGCTATCAACCCCTACTTCTCATTCTATAATATCTAACTATCTAACTATAATGTTGACCGCATAACATCCCAATTTGTCACCTCCCACTACCTCTCCTAAACCTCTGGCTATACATCATTTACTCTATGTCTCGCATGAATCAACTGTTTTTAATATTTAGCTCTCACATGATGAGTGAGAACATGTAGAATTTTTTGTTTCTGTACTGTTGGCTTTTCACTTACCTACTGTTCTCCAGTTCCTCCATGTTCGTTTGCAAATGGTGGGATTTCCATTCTTCTTTATTGCTATATAATATTCCAGTGTGTATATTCACCGACTAATTTCTTTATCATTCATCCACTGATGGACAGCTTAGGTTTGATTCAAGTCTGGCTATCGGTGAATATGCTGCCATCAAACATGGAAGTGTAGACTAAATATTTTGATAATATCGTTGATTTCTTCTTTTCGGATACATACCTAAGCATGGATTGCCGGCTCATTATGATAGTTTATCCTTTAGTTTGTTGAGGAACCCTCAACATTTCTCATAGCACTTTAAATCGCGAAATTATTTGTTTCACTGTTTATCTTGTTACAACTAGATCATACATCCTTTTGAAGATGCTTATTCTGTTCATTCACATCACAATACAGCTACATGTAAGTCAAATATGGTACTCATTATAACTACTTGACTTCTTAGACGAAAATCATAAAAGAAAGAAAAACAAATATTGATGATCCCATATATGAGGTATGCATGATAGTAAATTGATAATATAGAAAGTACACTCTGGGGCTTGAGGTGGGAGGATCGCTTTAGTCAGAAGTTGAGACCAGCAGGCAGGAATGAGACTCCTTATCTCTACAAAAATAAAAGAAATTAGCCAGACAACAAAATAGAAAAAAATTAGCCAGACATGGTGCCGCAATGCCTGTAGTCCCAACCTACTTCAAGGCGCAGGCAGGCGAGGACATACCTTGCCAGCAGGATCTGAGGTTGCTGTGAGCTAGAGCTGATGCCACTGGGGACCACTCGAAAACCTCCAACCCAGGCAACAGAGCAAGACTCTGTCTCAAAAAGGAAAAAAGAAAAGGAGGGGATGGGGAAACTAAAGGGTGGCTTGCCAGAGGCCGGGAGTACAGGGAATAGGAGGGAAGAGGGATTTTTGTGTTCAACGCTACCTATAGAGATTTCAGTTTTGCAAGTTGAAAAAGTGCTACGAGATCTCTTCGCACAACAGTGATTATATGTTTACTAGTAATAACTGTTCTCTAAAAATGGTTAAGAATGCCTGAACAGCAGTTGTTCACACCTGTAAATCCCCACACTTTTCGGCTGACCAACAGTAAGAGGATCTCCTTGAGGCCCAGGGAGTTTGAGACCAGCGCTGGGTATACATGGTGAAACCTCGCATGCTCTACAAAAATACATTAAAAAATAGCCAGGCATCGGCATGCTGCCTGTAGTCCCAGCATACCTCGGAGGCTGAGACAGGAGGATTGCTTGAGCCAGGAATTTGAGGTAAAGTGAGCTATTATGTGGCCACTGCACCCAGCCTTGTGACCAGCGTGAGACACCTGTCTCTAAAAAATAAAAGACAAAAGATAATAGTAGCCTCAATATGGTGTAATCCAGCACTCTTGGGGAGCAGAGCTGGATAGTTTTGAGCCAGAGGTTTCGCGTTCAGTGACCATGATGACCATTGCACTGTTGCCCAGGCAATGATTGAGATTCTACTCTTCAAAACGATAAAAAAAATAGTAAATAATAAGATAATTGTAAGATGTATTATTGTTGTGGGTTTTTTACAGTTTATATAACCAGAAAAGAAAAAGAAGAGAATCAGCTAGCAGTGCCTGAAGGGAGTGTGCCTCACACAACCAATGAATCTTGTCTCTTCCTGCTTCATGCTGGTGCATCTCCACTTTGCCTAAACGTGATTCTGTGTACTTTAAGATAAATGTTTTTCTTAAACATGGCCCTACATGCATGCCAACTGTCCCTCTCTCCGCTCTTCAATCAAAAAACTGTTTTGATATTGGGGGAAAAATTCGATCTTTATTTAACTCCATTAAAGAAGAAAGGAGTAGCGGTGGGAGAGATTTAATCAGAATTTTTTCAAGGATCATCTTTTTTAACTATATGAGTAAACCTGATATTCCGAATGTTTATTGCACTATCCAATCGCGACTTCCTGGTACCTTTTGTCACCTACTGTCTCCCTCTCAGCATTCTTCATTGGTACACTGGACCTTTTGAGGCCTGAGACAACCTCCGTTTTTCTCCTACCCTTTTCCAAGTCAGCATCTCAGAAGGCAGTGAACAGCTCATGTGCCCATCACTAAGGGACTGGCACGTTACCCAGCTGAGCCTATCTTCCATGGATGTCAGTGGACAATCTCCAACATGCTATTTTTAAGGAGGGCACGATATGGCCACTGTGCACAGTTTAAAC